ATATAGATCCTCTCCTCTACAAGGGTTGAATTTCGAAAGAAATTTCTTGCGAAGAAAACCGTAATAACAACGCCATTACATTTTCTTATCGATAATTGCCTACCATTAAATAATCCTTTATCGTGTATACGGAACTAAAAGGAAAAATTAAAGCATTTTTTTCTCTTTGTTAGTCGTGTCAAGGAATATCAATTACGCCTTATAAATTATAAAACATATATACATATATATATATATATGTATTTAGACAAAATATCCGAAGAATGGAACAAGCAGACACGGAAATTTAATTTACTATTCTACAATTTCGAATAATGATCGCGATTACGGTAAAACAAGGAAAATACATAAGTGTCCTCGATAAATGGATGATCGATATACGTCGTTCTACAAATTGTTTACTTTATGAAACGTCATGCGTAATTGTAGGTTTTAACAATTTCACCTCGGTACACGTGTCGCAACGATTAACCGTTAAATAATTAAGAAAGTTCGAAATGAATCTATCGCGCGTATCCATCGAATCCATCGTTCCATAACGATATTTAACGCTTCAAATCTTTTTAAGATACAGACTCGAAATACTCGATCGATAAATTACGATCGATTGAACGAATATCGAAGAAACGAAAAAGAGGAAAGGTATACTATTCTCAAAAGGAAAACTCACGTTTATGTTGCCAAGGTGCGTTGGAGGGCTTATACCCCTGCGGCTTCCGCCGCCTCCGACCTCCGCGTCCAGCTTGCCGGTTCGATTCACCTCGTGGATCCAAAAAATCTTGACAAATTGCTCGAACGCAGTTTGAGAAACACTCGAACGGGATATTCTATCCGTTCGATACGTTCGGATCGGTCCACGCGTCCACTGACCGATGTGGAAAAAACACACACACACACACACAGTGTCACAAAACTTCAAATAATCACTGCTCGATTAACGAGATATTCTTCCCACGAGCCAGTAGTGTATTGCGTCACTGCTACGGTTCGACTGGCAAATTTCCACACCGCGCGCCCTTCGAATATGTACGAAAACAGAAACGATATCGAGCCGACCGAAAACAAAACAAACCGTCTCGCTCGACTTTGGGCGTGCGAATTCCAACGTATTCCACGGATAAGTCATCGAAAAATTTTGTTACGCAGTAAATGTATCATCGAAATTTTTTTCCCAGAATTCGCGCACTTCGGCTGGTGATCAACACATAAAGCGAGGATTTCTTTGAACGGCTCGTGTTGTTAAACACAGGTGCGAGAAATTGAGTCACCGTCCGTCCAATGTTTACCGACATGATGCGAGATGATAATCGAAGGAATTATGGCCGTGGGTTTCCAAAATGATATTTTAAAAAGAGCGAGGAACGAGCGATCTCGATCGCGATCCGCATGGTTCGTTCGCGATACGCGGTTAATGCAAGCGCGACGGATCGATCGAAAAATCGAGGCCTGTTTCGACTCGATCGGTGACATGCGCGCGGCTACGAACCTGTTCGTCCATTCTTTGCCCCCACGGACAGTATCAGCGCGTGCATTCGTTCTGCAGCGATGAAAAGCAAGCATTCACGAATACGGACAACGACGACGACCACGACGACGACGACGACGACGACGACGAAGACGACGACG